CCCCCCCCCCCCCCCAACATTATATGATCTCTCCCTCCAACCTCACTGTCCCTATGGTACATATGCACCTTCCACTCGAGCTATGCCTAGTCACTGTCACTGTCAAGCAGTCTCCCTCCTAGATGCCTTCTTACAGTGCTAGCACTTGAGCAGCAGCACTCTAACTTCAAGACAGCGCAAGTGACAATGCTCAGCATGTAGGGTGCTGACATCTCAATATTTTTTCCACAAACAAGACATTAAGGTAGCTCTCTCCGGACAGTAAGCACACATCAGCCAGGCATAGTATGGGATGAGATGCCCGCTACTGCACACAGTGGCATCTGATATTTTTTCCACAAACAAGACATCGAGGTAGCTCTCCCCGGACAGTAAGCACACATCAGCCATGCATAGTATGGGATGAGATGCCCACCACTGCACACAGTGGCATCTGATTCTCAAGCCGGAGGGAGGGAGGAAGAGGGCGAGGGGGAGGAGGGAGGTAAGGAAGGAATGTGTCGCGAAGTGCAGCCCTGGTGCAGTAGTGCATGACACTTGACTTGCAAGGCGGGGGGAGATATGATGTCTGGCTGTTTACATCACTCTGCAGAATAGAAGAAGAGCGTTAAGTGGTGGAGCATTGAGGGTGAACTATACTAATGATTTTTGCTTGCTTGTACAGTATTTGTTCATTTATTCATTATTTTGTTATGGCAGTTGAATAAAGAGGGAAAGAACAGGACGAAGACCTGTGGAAAGACAGGGAAGAGAATATTCTTCGGGTTTTCTCTCACTCTGTCGTCTAATATTCTTCCTTTCATCTGCACATGTCATGGCCATTATGTAAGGCAAAGAATTAACACTGGATCCAGTACGTAAGGTCAGGAGTCATGCACTCTGCGGTAGGCTTACAGAGGGGCATCGCACAGATGTACTCACTTCTGTGAGTGCAGAAGCACAAAGAGAAGGCACTCGCGGAGAGCCTTCAACAATGACAAGACCTCCGCCATCCCTGCACACGATGTTCTTCCCTGCCACATGGTGCCAAAAAACTCCATGAAGAAGTCTGCCTCACTTGTGGAACTCCCGATGACCACGTCGGGTGGAATCCTGGAAATCAACACGACCATACAAGGGTACGAGAACTCTACAGATCCATAGCAAGCATGCCGAAGAAAGGCCCAGAAGCGGGGCCAGACCATCTTTCGAAGGTTGGCTCCATACCAGCTTCGAGGAAACCTGTTCACGAAAGACAACACCATCTCCCACATTGCCCAGTGGCATGAAGCCTCTCTTTCTGCAAATGCCCCGAGTACAATGGGAGCAACAACAGCTAAGTTATCCTCAACAACAGCACCTGCCCTCTCGCAAACAACTCTCAGAGCCTGGTACACAGCACTGCGTACAACAGGACTCTTCGATCGGACCAGATCCTTGAAAAACCCATGGACTTGACAGACTCTGGCTGCAGTCGCTGCAACCTCACTTGGTTCTCTGCTCTCGGGACCTCGAGACCCACCCTTGGCGCTCTCTCCACGACCCCCACATGCTTGGGCAGTGCTCTGATCCGCTACTGGAGGACATGAAGTAGGTTCCCCTGGAGCAGCAGACAAACTAGGTGGAGGGCCTGGAGCTCCTCCGTCTGGCTGTTGCTGTTGGCGACCAGCGGCTGCCATGCTTATCTGAGCTCCATCTAAGACCTCCAAAAGTGTAACAAAGGCGAGCAATGATGATGACAATACCTGCACCATAGGGTGTCATATGCACAATAACAGAAATTCAGTACACAATTAAGCAACGGAATGAGCATTACCAGTTCCTGTACAGAAATTCAGTCGTCAATGTGTGACGTGCATATTCAGGCACCATAAACGTACACAATTAAGCAACGGAATGAGCATTACCAGTTCCTGTAGGGACTTGTCGCTTGAAAATTGGGCGGACTGAAGTTTCCCAGAAGAGACTGGAGCCTCAGTCATAATGCTGCCGTTTTCTTTAAACCACTAGTACCTCCGAGCCTGTTTTTGCCGGCCTGAATTTCACTGCGCTCCGAGTTTTGCCGAGCCTGGGTCCCTCTTCATTTTCTTTATGGTATTCTCACGAGACGAACAAAGAAAAAGAAGAAAAGCTGTGGCTGTGAAACTCACAAAATAAGAAAACTGGAGCAAGTACACAAAGCTCTGGCTGTGATTGCAGTTGTATACATTCTTGGAAGTGGTAGTGTGAATGTGCCCTCAGTGAGGGCATTAGCCCCGTGGCCAGATTGTCAGATTCCAGGAACACAAAACATGGAAAAAAAAAAACGGAAACACGGACTCGGCCCTGAAAATGGCTGGATAGAGTGCCAGTGTGATCAGGGTTACAAACTTCTGAGGAAACATGGCTTGAGCAGATCACGGATTCCGCCCTGCCTCGTTGGCCGGGGACTCATAACAAACACACGAGAAAGAAGAAAGAAAAGAAAACAACTTTCTACATGTGACCGTGTTTGCTGTAAGATGCATTTTGTAGAGGAAGACTGTGCGCACGGCCTCCTGGACTACCCTGCCTGACATCATTGCAGTACAGAACGCTTTTTTTCTTTTCCTTTTCCTTTCACGCGCGGGCAAAAAAAAACTAAGATTTATGCGAGTTGCCGACCCTGGGTCCCACCCCCAAATTCTTCGGGAACAGGCTAAAACTCCTAATTACTAATTTCCCAACACTGGCAGAGGTACTAGAGGTTTAAGAGAGGGAAACAAAGTGGACTCAGACCAACATGCGCCTCACACATTCACGCGAATCTCACACAATACCAGACACACACAAGGCACACACATGAGATACAAAGCCAAATAGTCTTTGCAATTCCACCCAAGTAACCGGATGGTCTTCTACTCAGACTATGGCTGGTTACTAACAATGCAGGTAGGCCTCACATATATGTTCACTCGCTACTAATGCTATTACTAACGCACACATAGGGCACACTCACCTCTCTCTCTCTCTCTCTCTCTCTCTCTCTCAAGGTGTGCTATGACCCCAGGCGCCATCGACTATCCTAGGGCTCCAGACTTAGCTCATCCAATGGAGTAATACACAAGACCGCAAAAGCACTTATCAGTATGGATGCCAATTGCTGTTGACGGTTGGCGCGGCTGAACTTGCATCAGGTCTGCCGATGCTGCTAGTGACTTGGGATGTTCGGACCCAAATTCCTGCAGCCACGGTCAGCCTCCAACAACCGAAAAGTTCACGGTCAGCCACGGTCAGCCTCCAACAACCGGAAAGTTCTGGCCTTTCTGGATGGCTGCAACTGACACAAAACAAACAGACAGACAGACAATAGGGACTGCCTACTGACCGTTTTGAGTCTATGGACCCTACGAACCCAACAATAACGACAACCTAAGTACAGCCTGGACTGGACTGGGCTGACCGTACTGAGCTACCGGGCAGGACTACTGTACAGTGGGAATTTTAACTTGAGACCGGACCTGAGGAACTCTCATTCCCTCCGGCCTAGAAGAGGTCCTATGAGAAGGGAGGCCTTTGAAGACGAAGGCTTCGGCCTGCCTTCCCCTTCCTTTCCCCTCGTTTCCATTCTCCTTCTTCCTTTTCTTCTCCCTCAACTGAAAATCGAAGGCCTGAGCCTGGGAGCCAGAATGCCGGATTGCGCCAAGTATCGAAATCCGAAAGTGCCAGAGGCGGGATTTGAGACCGGGCACCAACTGCAGAGGGCGCCAGTAGTCAGGAACCGAGATCAGAGACTCAAAAAGAAAATGGAATAGCAGCCTGGCGGGTGGTAACCTGCGGACCAGGGATCGAGCCCTGGCTGAGTCCGTAACACTTGAAGTAATGCCCTCACTGAGGGCATACTCACACAACGACTTTCGGCTACACACCAGGTATCACGTCCAGACAGGTGTTTGTTTTTCTTGTATGTTTTCGTGGCTGCGAGCGGGTCGTTTTTTGAAAGTCTGGCTGTGCTTTTTCGTTTTTTTTTTTCAGGAGAGCACCAGAAAAGAAACAAAACGGAACCCAGGTTCGGCAAAACTCGGTGCGCAGTGAGAATCAGGATCGGCAAGAACAGGCTCGGAGGTAGTGTTGGTTTAACCTCCATAATCTCCCATGATCCTCTGTATGCAGGCAAGAACTTCTGCAAAATACCTTCTTCTCGCATGGACACACTCGGTCGCCTACACCAAACTCGTCTGTGCTTTTTCGCTTGCTCTATCATCTTGTACTAATGTGCCTAATAGGTCTATCTCGTACTGCAGTGCGGACTCACATATGTAGGGAAACGCTCCACCTGATCAGCATTGAGACAATCAATCGGTCTTCGTGCTGCCATCCCTTACGCAGCTGATTCAGTGTTCTGTCTGTGCACAGATGCACTGTAGCATTCTGAGTACCACACGGGCCCTTACAGGGCCCGACCCGGTAGGATAGGGGATAGGTAGGGGGCCCTACAGGCCCCACTTCGTTTCAATGTAGGTAGGGGCCCTCCAGGCCGGTCATGGTAGGTAGGCCCCGGTAGGCCTAGGCCCTGCAGCGCCGGTTCAGTAGCGCCACGCCCCCGGATATAGGCTCAGGTAGGCCTCAGCAGGAAAACGGGCCGTGAGCGCCAGGCCACTTTTCGGTTTTGGGCGCCAAGGCGCTAGTTTGGGCGCCAGACACCAGTGCTGTGCTGCATTGGCAAGAGCGGCCTCTCAGCCGGACCAGCCACTTCATATGGTTGGTCCACCCAGGAGGCAACAGGATTCGTAGAGGCATTCTTCAGAGGATGCTGCCGTAGTAGTGGTCGACGATAGGAGCTGTAGTCTTCCAGCGCTGGGCGCTGATAGAGTCAAAGGTAGAGCTGCGAGGAGAGAGAGACAGTGGTGGAGGCCAGGGGACTTACCTGGAGACTTCAGCACGTCGGTACCCGCATCAAGGTGCCACCTTTCACAGGTTAGTACCTGGTACACAGAGACAGAGGTCTTCTTCTTCTTCGTCCTCCAGCCCACCATCTTCTTCTCTCCCTCCAGCGCTCTGACTTCTCAGCATCATC